CCAGTTGATCAAGGCAACATATGTGACACTTCCTTCTCCAAGGTTATCCTCATGACAGTAATGCTTATGAGGTAGACTGGACTAAGAAATGTTGATTATTCAAAGAGATTAATTGGCTTTTAGGGTTAAGCCAGGTCCCAGGTCCACCTGGCCCTCCTCCATCACTCCAATCACCCACCCCACCCCATGCTTTCATGGAATTAAATAACTCTTGAAATCCACTGCATCTCTTTTAAAGTTCTTCCGAAATCTGAGACTTGAAATCTGACAAAACTGCCTCTGAGCAAGAAAGATCAGCAGGACTTCTGAGACCAGAGTTGGTCTTGAAACAATTTCATTTGTTTTCCCCTTGCATCTTTACTATTTTTCAACTGAGTTCTGGAGAAAAGTTTGCTCATATTTATACTTACAAAGAAAAGAATGAAAAAGTCTATGGTGCATGGTTTAGCAAAACATATTTTGGTTTCCTCACAGAACAATGGCAGAAGAACAAAGTAGGTATTGATTGATTTTCCTGTTATTCATATCAGTCCCAGATCTGGAACAATCAGACCTTGTCACACCCTTATAGACAATTCACGGCTTGGGCCAATGCAGCTGAGGGAATCTTGCCCACTTTCCACCTCTTTCTCATCCTTGGTTAGTGGAAACAATTTGCCATTTCACTATTTCTATTTGAACCATTGAAAACAATGATCTCCGTTAGAATCACTGGAGGAGGACGGGTGTGTCCAGTTCTCAAGATTACTCTTGCATGAGGTTTAATGAGGGGCAAGATTAAAGCCTTCTCATCCAGTGATTATAGTAAATACTGTAATGCTATTTTCTGTTGCTGGTTGCAAGGAAGAAACTGCAACCCTGATCAAGGGAACCTGGCCTTTCCTTGCAGAGAAGAATGTTGCTTCATAACCATTCTTACAGCAGATAAACATGGATCTTGATTCAGATTGCTGGGCAGTGAAAGAAGGGTGATGAAAATATTTCTGGCTGGAATATGGAATATCCAATTTCAGGTTCTCATTATTTGGCCCACTGAAACTCT